TCGAAGCTACAGAGCTCATCAAGAAGAGACCGAGTCTCCAAGTTACTGCTCGTGTTGAGGTTCATCTTAGCTAATATGATTCAAATGCTCTCTGATTCAATTCAGGAGTGGGAACGAAGAGAATGTTGGTAGTAATAGTAAGAGTGGGAGAGAGACGACGAAGTGAAAGAAAGAATAGAATGTAAGAAGAATAGGGGGTTGTAGGACACGTGTGTACACGTGGCTTGTGAGGCAACGAGAACGCGAAGACGGTGCCAACTCATTTGCAACAGATTTCACACTTCACTTATTCCACTACACTATTAATCAGAGGTTAATGATGCCTAAGACCCGTTCCCCTTCTGCACATTTTACAAATTCAACTCCCTAAATCCATTTTAGTGTTTCTTTATGTATTAAAAATACTTTACCTCATATATCCTGTCTAAAACTGTTCAAATTTTAAATATATTTCCAATAATTCATATTTAATAAATTTTAAGTTTTTCATTATATATTATTACGTTTATTATGCATATTCAGTATTCAAAATAACAATTTTTTTTAACTCACAAAACAATAACAATTACAGCCTATTTAAAAAAAATCCTTCAATAAATAGATACATTACGTTCATCATATATTAAATAAATAATAGTTTAAACTAAATACATTAATAGTGTGTTTAGTTTCTAGAAAAAGATTTCACATTTATTACGTAAAGTTGAAAAATAGCAGTTACAAGTTTGAAACCTCAAACATGATTTTTCAATTTCAGCAAGTTTTCAGATATACTAAAGAAGTTTATACATATTAAATATTCTTAAATAAATTGATGTTAACCTTAAATATAAATTATTTTGAAATGAAGACCGTAACCGTCAAGGACTATTTCTGTCGGTATTGGTTCCCTAATGTTATCCATTAGAATTTTTAGAGAATTTGAAGAGATTACTAAATTCAGAGTCTGCTGTCTAGAGGGTTCATGTCTGAATGTAAGTAGTTTAGTACATATTCTAATAATTTAAAATCAATTTTTCGCTATTCCAACTCTGAAAGATAGAAAAACCATGTCTAATATTCAATTTTATAATCTTAAGCTTGCATTTATCTAAACTAGATAATACATAAATTTGATAAATGAAAAATTAAAAACATCACTATGACGCGTCTTTTGTTACTTAATCTATCATTAGTTAAAATTTATTCAAAACTGGAAATATCGTGTATTAACAGAAAATAATAATTAACCATGATTTTTATTATAAGAAATAATGAATTTCAATAAAGTATTATAAAAATGTGTTTGTAGGATGAATAAATGTTCAAAACGTACACGTAAATAGTTCTTCGGCAGGCTCAGCGCTGATACACGGGGCTAAGGTTGTTTCCGCCACGATCACTCATCCAATGCACACCGAAATTGAGAAATGTCAGCTACCTNCTATTCAGAATATGTATGGTCCAATTAACTCCTTTAGGCCAGAAAGCTTTTAGAATTTCACTACTTTTAAAAAGAGTTACCATGTTCAAAATTGTATGATTCTTCTTTTCAAAAATGTGATTTTACTTAGGTGTGTATATTGTAGTCAATTGTTTCTTTATTCCTTGTTCATCACAAAATTAATAAATTCTTCTAAATTGTATTCTCCAGCACAATAACTTGATTAGAGTTCATGTTTATTTTTCATTTAGAGTTTTGAAACTTTTAAAGACTGAAAAATTCAGATCTTCATACATCAGAGTGATGGATCCACATAGGTCTGTATGCACGAGCTTCCTTGCTTTCCATGATTTTGCTTTTTGAAATGGTTCTGATGTTGTTTACCAATGACATATTCTTCACATATTTGAGAAGAAGTTTATATTTGTGGGAGTCCTGTCACCATATTCTTTACTTCCAATGTCTTTAAACCTCCAAAATTTAAATGCCAATACCAAAAATGCCAAAGGGAAACTTTGCAAATCATCAATTGAAAGTTTCTCTACTACACAAGCCTTCTCAATGAAAAAAACTACAAAATTGAAGTTGAATACGAACACTATGCCTAAAAATAAAATTATGCATTTAGGTTAGAGAATAATATTGATTTAATGGCTGATATGCTTACTAGAAAGATGATTTCTTCAGCTTTTGTCTTTTTTTTTTGTTTCTTCTTATAAAATGGTTAAATTTAAAAATAAAAACTATAAATATGATTATTTTAATTTTAAAAAAATTATTTAAAGGGTGAATTTGTAAAACAAATATGACACTAAAAATGAGAATCTCCTTTAGCTATCGAGATATATGTATTTGACGTTACGTATAAAAAAAATATTTTCAAGCTTATAAAAAAAATTAATTTTAATAAATTTCAATTACCAATTCTACAAAAAATTAAAAATTAATTAATTTTTAAGTAAATTACTTGATTATAAAATTTATCAAACATCTCAATTTATAGAAACAACATCTTTTAAATAATTATATGATAATTTAATTAATCACTATACAAAAGGCCGGAACAGCATCGCCTCCTCTTTCTCTCTAGCCTTAACCTAACAATGTCACTCTCAATAACAAAGTTAAGGTTCTGTATTTCTTTTTCCATTTCCAAGTTCTCTCCTTTTCTTCCAAACCCTTCTTCTATCTCTTCCTTTCGCTTACAGTATCACTCTCAGCCTCCTTCAGTTGATGTTCACGACGTCGTCTCCCAATTTCATCGCATGTTCCATATGCGCCCTGTTCCTCCCATTAACCAATTTCAGCAGATCTTGGGATCTCTTACAAAGATGAAACACTATTCTACAACTATTTTCCTTTTTAAGCAAATGGAGCTCAAAGGAATTCAGGGTAATCTTGTCATTCTCAACATCGTCATCAATTGTTTGTGCCACTTAAGCCAAATGCCATTCTCTTTCTCTATTCTTGCCAAGATTCTCAAACTGGGTTATCATCCAAGTGTCATAACCTTAACTACCCTCATGAAAGGTCTCTGTCTTAATAGTGAGGTCAAGAAAGCACTGACCTTTCATGACAAAGCAGTAACACATGGATTTCGATTTGACCGCGTTAGTTACGGGACTTTGATCAATGGCTTGTGCAAGGTAGGAGAAACCGAAGCTGCCATCAAGTTGCTCAGAATAATAGAAGGCGGATTATGTAAGTCTAATGTTGTAATGTACGCCACTATCATTGACTCTCTGTTCAAAGATAATCTTGCAAAAGAGGCTTATAATTTGGTTATTAAAATGATATCAAATAACATCATGCCTAACGCTTATATCTATACTATAATGATCGATGCTTTATGTAAGGAAGGAAAGATAAAAGAAGCTAAGAATGTGTTAGGTGTGATGGTGAAAGCTTGTGTGAAACCTACTAGTGTTACACTTAACATTTTAATAGATTGGTATTCCTTGGTTAACGAGATGAAAAGTGCTAAACACATATTTAATGTTATGACCCAAATTGGAGTAACTCATCAGGTTCGCAGCTACAATATCATGATTAATGGATTATTGAAGAGTAAAAGAGAGGATGAGGCCATGAATATCTTTCAGGAAATGCATAAAAGGAACATGGTTCCTAACACAGTGACTTACACTACTCTTATAGATGGTTTATGCAAATCTGGGAAAATAAGTTATGTTTGGGATCTTATTGATGAGATGCATGATAGAAATCAACAACCAGATGTAATCACTTACAATTGCTTGATACATGCTTTGTGCAAAAACTATCATCTAGACAAGGCATTTGAATTATTCAAGACAATGATGGAAAAGGGAATTCAGCCGAGTATGTACACCTGGAATATACTTATTGATGGAATGTGCAAAGGGGGAAGACTTGAGGAGGCACAAGAGACCTTTCAAGATCTTTTAATTAAAGGGTACCGTTTAAATGTATTTTGTTATAGTACTATGATCAATGGTCTTTGTAAAAAGGGTTTGATTGATGAGGCATTAACCTTATGGTCCAAAATGGAAGACAATGGTTGCTTACCTAATGCGGTAACTTTCGAAATAATGATCAGGGCTCTCTTTGAAAAGGATGAGATTGATAAAGCAGAGATATTTGTTCGTGAAATGATATTTAGAGGCTTGTTGACATGATAAAAGGTGAAACCTCATTTCTGTATTAAGTTACATTTGTGTAGTCCTACATAACGTACTTGAATGGTTGCTATATGTTGTATCTGTTTGATTGGAGAAGTGTGACCTTTCTGCAATTGATGCTTGTCTTGCTACATATTGGATGTGAAGAGTTGAAAATTTTTTATGTTGTGCTCTACATTTTCACTGCTTTAGAACTTCTGTGTGTGTTTTTTTTTTGTTTTTTTGCATTGCATTAATTGTCTGTCAAGACCAAAACCCTGTTCTACCTCCATAAATTCTAATGCCTTTTTGTTTTTCAATTTCATTTAACTTTCTAGAAGTTCTCTACCACTTAACGTAATTGAGGAAGTTTACTCTCATACTATATTACCTTATTGATATTGATATAACTCATTACAAGTTTTAAATTGTGTAAATAACCTTCAATCCTTTGAAAGAGAGGGCCCACAAGTGATTTACAGCTGTACAAGCTTTATGTCTCTTTATGAGACAAAAAGTATTTAAGTTCCCTGATTTGCATGTGTCTACGTCTTTCTGTACTCACAAAAGTATAAAATTTGTCATAAGAACATGGAAAATCAATGAAGGTATTTTTAGAAGACAGGAGCTGAATAGTTGATCAAAAGTTGAAGTAGAAAAATACATTTGAGTTTATCCAAAACAAATTGAAATTAGTGGATGGAGATGGGCATTACAATGTAGCTTCATTGACATTTTCCTGTTCACTTATAGGAATCAAAAGTCTTATTGAAAATTAATCAAATGCAATGGAAATCATCCACTAAATATTCTGCCCACAAAATTCAGGCATGATGTATTTAGTATTTAATTTTACATTTAAATGTTTTCTATGAATGTTTATTAAGGAGAAAAGTAGATTTACATAAGCAAGAAAAGAAAACAAAGCATTAAAATCATTTGACAAGAAATCCACAAGTGACAACTAAAATTGAAAAGGAAATACTTGCAAGTTCATCTTAAACATGTATTACTGTCACGTTCAGAAGCAAAGAAAAGGTAACTACTGTCTTAAGCCAACTCGAACAAGACAACCATTTAGAAAATCCCAGTGAGAAGATTAGCAGCAGTGGAGATAGCTGCTCCTGTGATAGCACATTGCACAATATGTTCATGGGTGGAATCATCCAATGTAAGGGCAAGGGTCGCCCCTGTGATTGCTCCTGCAACTGCGCTGTTTTTCTGCATCAAATACAATAAGTTATGACGTTATTATAGTTGTGCATGTTATATTATCAATATAGTGAACACTAGAAAGTGAAGTTAGATCACATAGCACTATGCTGAAAGCAATAGAAAAAGAAAAGGCAATAAAAAGTGAGACACAAAAGCAATTTTTGTCATTCACTGAAAATAGGGAGAGAATGAAAATTATAGAGTTGAAAATGATCCACAAGAATGGATCAAAATATCCCAAAAGTAGGTACTGTTTTTCCGGCAATGAGACAGATGTGCCGATCTGCCATACTGGTTAAATACTAAAGTATTGAAGTTGAGATGTGAAATATGAAACCAATTACTAAAAAGAAACCGAGAGAGAAAAAAGGTGCTACCCAGTCATGAGCTCCACGAGCTTCCTTCAACCCATAAGTGAGACCTGAATACAATCCTGCGGCCAATCCTGCATTCAAAACAATCTTTTAAGGTCCATCTGGCACTTAAATAGGGGAAAAAATCGTGCAATGCTGGCAAACTCATCGGAGTAAATAGAACAGATACAAGAGGGAAATAGAAAATATTGAAACCCAATCTGTCATTTGTAACTTTGGTGGCAAATCTAAGTTATTACTCAGCTTAAAGCATTCACTGTTTTTAGAAAATTCACATTTTAATATAACATAAGCAAATGGTATCCTGGTTAGGTAGAGGGAAATTTCAATACCCCATTGTAAGGACTCTTTGCCCGTGCTCATCACCTGAGGATTAGAGAAAAAAACAACAAAATTAACAGCAAGAAAAATCATACGGTATGTTCACTTGAGGTATATATTATATAAATAAAAACTCACCATGGCCTCAAGAGATTTGTTACTGGTCTCTCCTAAATGCACAAACAGAAAAGAACAAAAGATCAATACTCTGACAAATTAAAGCTTTCCACCGCACAGATATTCAGTACAACAATGTTAAGAAAGGGAAATAAAGAATTTGACAAAATTTATTTTCTTTTTTGTCTTTCGTTGTTGGGTTAATATATATTTTCAACTCCAATTCTTTGAAATATCCCTATTCCGGTGGACCCACACTTCATTTGAAAAAGAAAAAAAAAGCAAAATGCAATAGTTATTAAAACTCCACTGATAATGAATCTGGCATAATGTACCTCTAAGACCCGGCAACTGATTTTTCTTCGTATTTGAAACTTCTGCAGGCAAACCGCTGCTATTTGCCCCGTTACCTATGAGTATGCGTATCATGCACATCAATACGTTACCATTCTATAATATTATTTTTGTTTACAAATTGGATCACATTTACAAGAAAACAAGAAAGGAACTAATTGAAAAATAATTTACAAAGACGATACAAATCTTAAATCAAGATATATCCCATTCTTCGTATCATTTCCATAATGTAACAAAGATGGTTTACAATTACAACAGAAAGTGGAGGAGTGTCGGTTGCACCTTCAACAGCAGAGAAGAAAGCCTCGCGGGACACAGCTTGAACCGCTCCTATCTGAAAAAAAAAAGGATATTTGTACAGAGAAAAAGGAAGAAAGAGAAAGAAAAGGGTGTTGTGAGAAATACTCCAGCAGCTTTGACGAAGCTCTCAAGGATGCGGTTGAGAAGAGGGTGTCCAAGATCGAAGAGTCCTTTCTTGTCGAAGCTACAGAGCTCATCAAGAAGAGACCGAGTCTCCAAGTTACTGCTCGTGTTGAGGTTCATCTTAGCTAATATGATTCAAATGCTNTTATCAAGTTGTAGCATATGCCATGACTCTTTCTGGTGTTTGCTGCAGCATCCTGTCTCTTGAATATTTTACCTTAACTTCAACAAATTCTACAATATCACACCCTCCTTCGTGTGTGTATGATTACAAAATAGTTGAGTTGTTATCACTTAAGTTATGAGGTGCCTCCAATTGATAGTTTCATAAGAAAACTGCAATTAACTTAACATTGTATCGTAACAAGCAGTAAACGGTGGCATTTTAAAGATACAGTTCTTTGTGGGATTATAATATGCATAAGAACATTCTGAACACAAATGGAATTCATTTGCAACTATATCAAAATCAGAAAATTATTATCATAGAAATTTATTGTTGATTTGTATGCGATAACTTCTCCCTTCTTTACTTCTTGCTTCCTACTTCTTTCCTTTTTTGCTTTTCAATTTCTGAAAATTTTAGGTGATCTGCAGTGAAACTATAACGGTCACCTGATAGATCCTGGGAGACTGGGACTTCATCAGAAGTGTGAAATTGTCTGCTATGTTACTGTCCCATGTATATTCTAGATATGTTTTTTTTTATGCTTCTTGCATCTATGGTTTACATCTATTATGATTGCCTATATGTTGCTGTCTTGTATAACTCATTGTGTTTTATGACTTCAATTCACATGGTGTGAATAAACATTGTCAAATCTGTTGCAGAGACTTAAAACCAGTCGCAATATTCATTCACTAAATTCTTGGAATGCAGATAAGTTCATTTAATCGCACATATGAACAAAATAAAATTGCTTAGCAGAGCAAATAGTTCATTTATGCATACATCAACGTTCCACGGATAAACTTCAAATTTTATTACCAAACTTTGTTATGTCATATTCAATTGAGCTTTTTGACACAAGTTATCCATTCATTACAAGTCCACGATCCACCAGTGGGTAAAGAAGAAAAATTATATTTTTAATTCAAAGTACAATTTTAATCTTGTTTAATTTTTTTTATGTGCCATGCCCAATTCATCTATATAGCTCAAAGGTTAATGACGTTTTGATAAGAACATTGGTCTAATAATTGGATCCATAGTCTTATAGTTTTATCTATTCATAACTCAATTATATCTAGCTATCTTTTCTAAATGTCATAGCAATAGAATAAAGACATATATAATCAATTCACAACAATTTTTTACCGTAAATTTTTGTATAATATTATATGGAATTAAACTCAGTAAAATTGTAATTAGTTCTTGTCTTTAATAATTTAAAAAATAAATAGATTTAATCACTCTCACTTAACTTAATAATAGTAAATGGTAAGATTTAAATAAAATTCACTTCTTAACATATTATTTAAATTTGATTTAATATTTATCCTAACAAAATTAAATGTCTATTATTATATTTGAGATGTATTATATATATATATATATTGTTTCATTTGATATGAGATCATTCATCAATGTCTATTATTATATTTGAGATGTATATATTTAAACTTGAGTGGGTATGTTAACACTGATAGATTTCCTTTGAGCAACTCAGCAGTGATCTTCCTCCCCAAATGTAAAAGAATATTTGTGATAGATATTCCATATTACTTTGCCAATGTAAAAGAATATTTGTTTATTATAAAAGGAGCATCGATCAATCAGCTTATAATTTTCATTTGGACCACTAATAAGAAACGGACTTGAAATAGTATTTTTGTTATTAATATACATTCTTATTCTAATCATGTTTTCATGTTTGAAGTTAGTCAACCAGGTCACGACGTTGTCAATTTAATAAATTTGATTTAGTTTCTAAATACATAAAAGTACGAATTGGTCCAAACTTTATGATTTTGAAAAGTACAGTTTAGTATTATGTTCGTCCTAAAAATTACAAATAGTAGAAATAGTCTCACATTTTTTTATCAGCAATAATTAATAATAAAATAAAAAAATTAATTTTATTAATTTAATACATCTTTTTATAAATATGTAACTTTTAAAATCCAAAGCGGTCTCACTCAGGTAGGATGTAACAATGGCAACATTTCAACAGATAAAGTCAGATTTTAAGCTTCTACAATGTGTAAAGTATTTTACATTTTCAAAGACTTAATTAATTATTTAATCAAATAATTAAAAAATAAAATATTATTAGATTTTGAAGGAAGGTATAGTAAAAAATATGGATCTGTATTATTATTTGTGGAATTATTATTAGTAGAAGACTTCAATCATTATTTGTAGAAGCCTTCAATGATTGTTTCTCTTTCTCTTATTAGCAAATTTTTAGTTCATGAATCAACAAAGAACTTTACAACTCGTCAATTGAAAGTTTGTCTACTACACGAGCTTCTTTAATGGAGAAAACTACAAAATTGAAGTTAAATACGAACATTATGCCTAAAAATAAATTTATGCATTTAGGTTAGAGAATAATATTGATTTAATGGCTGACATGCGTAGTAGAAAGATGATTTCTTCAGCTTTTGTCTTTTCTTTTGTTTTTTCTTATAAAATGGTTATATTTAAAAAAAAAACTATAATTATAATTTATTTTAATTTTAAAAAATTATTTAAAGGGTGAATTTGTAAAACAAATATGACACAAAAAATGAGAATCTCTTTTAGCTATAGAGATATAGGTAGTTGACATTACTTATAAAAAAAATATTTTCAATTTGTGCTTATAAAAAAATAAAATTTAATAAATTTCAATTACCAATTCTACAAAATAAAATTTAATAAATTTCAGCATCACCTCCTCTTCCTCTTTTGTGTTAACCTAACAATGTCACTCCCAATAACAAAGTTAAGGTTCTGTATTTCTTTTTCCATTTCCAAGTTTTCTCCTTTTCTTCCAAACCCTTCTTCCTTCTCTTCCTTTCACTCTCAGCCTCCTTCAGTTGATGTTCATGTCGACGTCGTCTCCCAATTTCATCGCATGTTTCATATGCGCCCTGTTCCTCCCATCAACCAATTTCAGCAGATCTTGGGATCTCTTGCAAGGATGAAACACTATTCTACAACTATTTCTCTTTTTAAGCAAATGGAGCTCAAAGGAATTCAGAGTAATCTTGTCATTCTCAGCATCATCATCAATTGTTTGTGCCACTTAGGCCAAATGCCCTTCTCTTTCTCTATTCTTGCCAAGATTCTCAAACTGGGTTATCATCCAAATGTCATAACCTTAACTACTCTCATGAAAGGTCTCTGTCTTAATAGTGAGGTCAAGAAAGCACTTACCTTTCATGACAACGCAATAGCACAAGGATTTCGATTTAACCGAGTTACTTACGGGACTTTGATCAATGGCTTGTGCAACGTAGGAAAAACCGAAGCTGCCATCAAGTTGCTCAGAATAATAGAAGGCGGATTATGTAAGTCTGATGTGATAATGTACTCCACTATCATTGACTCTCTATTCAAAGATAATCTTGCAAAAGAGGCTTATAATTTGGTTATTAAAATGATATCAAATAACATCATGCCTGATGCTTGTACCTATAATATAATGATTGATGCTTTATGTAAGGAAGGAAAGATAAAAGAAGCTAAGAATGTGTTAGGTGTGATGGTGAAAGCTTGTGTGAAACCTACTAGTGTTACACTTAACATTTTAATGGATTGGTATTCCTTAGCTAACGAGATGAAAAGTGCTAAACACATATTTAATGTTATGACCCAAATTGGAGTGACTCCTACAGTTTACAGCTACAATATCATGATTAATGGATTATGTAAGAGTAAAAGAGTGGATGAGGCCATGAATCTCTTTCAGGAATTGCATAAGAGGAACATGGTTCCTAATGCAGTGACTTACACTACTCTTATAGATGGTTTATGCAAATCTGGAAGAATAAGTTATGTTTGGGATCTTATTGATGAGATGCATGATAGAAATCAACAACCAAATGAAATCACTTACAATTGCTTGATACATGCTTTATGCAAAAACTATCATCTAGACAAAGCATTTAAATTATTCAAAACAATGATGGAAAAGGGAATTCAGCCGAGTATGTACACCTGGAATATACTTATTGATGGAATGTGCAAAGGGGGAAGACTTGAGGAGGCACAAGAGACCTTTCAAGATCTTTTAATTAAAGGGTAACGTTTAAATGTATTTTGTTATAGTACTATGATCAATGGTCTTTGTAAAAAGGGTTTGATTGATGAGGCATTAATCTTATGGTCCAAAATGGAAGACAATGGTTGCTTACCTAATGCGGTAACTTTCGAAATAATGATCAGGGCTCTCTTTGAAAAGGATGAGATTGATAAAGCAGAGATATTTGTTCGTGAAATGATATTTAGAGGCTTGTTGACATGATAAAAGGTGAAACCTCATTTCTGTATTAAGTTACATTTGTGTAGTCCTACATAACGTACTTGAATGGTTGCTATATGTTGTATCTGTTTGATTGGAGAAGTGTGACCTTTCTGCAATTGATGCTTGTCTTGCTACATATTGGATGTGAAGAGTTGAAAATTTTTTATGTTGTGCTCTACATTTTCACTGCTTTAGAACTTCTGTGTGTGTTTTTTTTTTTGTTTTTTTGCATTGCATTAATTGTCTGTCAAGACCAAAACCCTGTTCTACCTCCATAAATTCTAATGCCTTTTTGTTTTTCAATTTCATTTAACTTTCTAGAAGTTCTCTACCACTTAACGTAATTGAGGAAGTTTACTCTCATACTATATTACCTTATTGATATTGATATAACTCATTACAAGTTTTAAATTGTGTAAATAACCTTCAATCCTTTGAAAGAGAGGGCCCACAAGTGATTTACAGCTGTACAAGCTTTATGTCTCTTTATGAGACAAAAAGTATTTAAGTTCCCTGATTTGCATGTGTCTACGTCTTTCTGTACTCACAAAAGTATAAAATTTGTCATAAGAACATGGAAAATCAATAAAGGTATTTTTAGAAGACAGGAGCTGAATAGTTGATCAAAAGTTGAAGTAGAAAAATACATTTGAGTTTATCCAAAACAAATTGAAATTAGTGGATGGAGATGGGCATTACAATGTAGCTTCATTGACATTTTCCTGTTCACTTATAGGAATCAAAAGTCTTATTGAAAATTAATCAAATGCAATGGAAATCATCCACTAAATATTCTGCCCACAAAATTCAGGCATGATGTATTTAGTATTTAATTTTACATTTAAATGTTTTCTATGAATGTTTATTAAGGAGAAAAGTAGATTTACATAAGCAAGAAAAGAAAACAAAGCATTAAAATCATTTGACAAGAAATCCACAAGTGACAACTAAAATTGAAAAGGAAATACTTGCAAGTACATCTTAAACATGTATTACTGTCACGTTCAGAAGCAAAGAAAAGGTAACTACTGTCTTAAGCCAACTCGAACAAGACAACCATTTAGAAAATCCCAGTGAGAAGATTAGCAGCAGTGGAGATAGCTGCTCCTGTGATAGCACATTGCACAATATGTTCATGGGTGGAATCATCCAATGTAAGGGCAAGGGTCGCCCCTGTGATTGCTCCTGCAACTGCGCTGTTTTTCTGCATCAAATACAATAAGTTATGACGTTATTATAGTTGTGCATGTTATATTATCAATATAGTGAACACTAGAAAGTGAAGTTAGATCACATAGCACTATGCTGAAAGCAATAGAAAAAGAAAAGGCAATAAAAAGTGAGACACAAAAGCAATTTTTGTCATTCACTGAAAATAGGGAGAGAATGAAAATTATAGAGTTGAAAATGATCCACAAGAATGGATCAAAATATCCCAAAAGTAGGTACTGTTTTTCCGGCAATGAGACAGATGTGCCGATCTGCCATACTGGTTAAATACTAAAGTATTGAAGTTGAGATGTGAAATATGAAACCAATTACTAAAAAGAAACCGAGAGAGAAAAAAGGTGCTACCCAGTCATGAGCTCCACGAGCTTCCTTCAACCCATAAGTGAGACCTGAATACAATCCTGCGGCCAATCCTGCATTCAAAACAATCTTTTAAGGTCCATCTGGCACTTAAATAGGGGAAAAAATCGTGCAATGCTGGCAAACTCATCGGAGTAAATAGAACAGATACAAGAGGGAAATAGAAAATATTGAAACCCAATCTGTCATTTGTAACTTTGGTGGCAAATCTAAGTTATTACTCAGCTTAAAGCATTCACTGTTTTTAGAAAATTCACATTTTAATATAACATAAGCAAATGGTATCCTGGTTAGGTAGAGGGAAATTTCAATACCCCATTGTAAGGACTCTTTGCCCGTGCTCATCACCTGAGGATTAGAGAAAAAAACAACAAAATTAACAGCAAGAAAAATCATACGGTATGTTCACTTGAGGTATATATTATATAAATAAAAACTCACCATGGCCTCAAGAGATTTGTTACTGGTCTCTCCTAAATGCACAAACAGAAAAGAACAAAAGATCAATACTCTGACAAATTAAAGCTTTCCACCGCACAGATATTCAGTACAACAATGTTAAGAAAGGGAAATAAAGAATTTGACAAAATTTATTTTCTTTTTTGTCTTTCGTTGTTGGGTTAATATATATTTTCAACTCCAATTCTTTGAAATATCCCTATTCCGGTGGACCCACACTTCATTTGAAAAAGAAAAAAAAAGCAAAATGCAATAGTTATTAAAACTCCACTGATAATGAATCTGGCATAATGTACCTCTAAGACCCGGCAACTGATTTTTCTTCGTATTTGAAACTTCTGCAGGCAAACCGCTGCTATTTGCCCCGTTACCTATGAGTATGCGTATCATGCACATCAATACGTTACCATTCTATAATATTATTTTTGTTTACAAATTGGATCACATTTACAAGAAAACAAGAAAGGAACTAATTGAAAAATAATTTACAAAGACGATACAAATCTTAAATCAAGATATATCCCATTCTTCGTATCATTTCCATAATGTAACAAAGATAGTTTACAATTACAACAGAAAGTGGAGGAGTGTCGGTTGCACCTTCAACAGCAGAGAAGAAAGCCTCGCGGGACACAGCTTGAACCGCTCCTATCTGAAAAAAAAAAGGATATTTGTACAGAGAAAAAGGAAGAAAGAGAAAGAAAAGGGTGTTGTGAGAAATACTCCAGCAGCTTTGACGAAGCTCTCAAGGATGCGGTTGAGAAGAGGGTGTCCAAGATCGAAGAGTCCTTTCTTGTCGAAGCTACAGAGCTCATCAAGAAGAGACCGAGTCTCCAAGTTACTGCTCGTGTTGAGGTTCATCTTAGCTAATATGATTCAAATGCTCTCTGATTCAATTCAGGAGTGGGAACGAAGAGAATGTTGGTAGTAATAGTAAGAGTGGGAGAGAGACGACGAAGTGAAAGAAAGAATAGAATGTAAGAAGAATAGGGGGTTGTAGGACACGTGTGTACACGTGGCTTGTGAGGCAACGAGAACGCGAAGACGGTGCCAACTCATTTGCAACAGATTTCACACTTCACTTATTCCACTACACTATTAATCAGAGGTTAATGATGCCTAAGACCCGTTCCCCTTCTGCACATTTTACAAATTCAACTCCCTAAATCCATTTTAGTGTTTCTTTATGTATTAAAAATACTTTACCTCATATATCCTGTCTAAAACTGTTCAAATTTTAAATATATTTCCAATAATTCATATTTAATAAATTTTAAGTTTTTCATTATATATTATTACGTTTATTATGCATATTCAGTATTCAAAATAACAATTTTTTTTAACTCACAAAACAATAACAATTACAGCCTATTTAAAAAAAATCCTTCAATAAATAGATACATTACGTTCATCATATATTAAATAAATAATAGTTTAAACTAAATACATTAATAGTGTGTTTAGTTTCTAGAAAAAGATTTCACATTTATTACGTAAAGTTGAAAAATAGCAGTTACAAGTTTGAAACCTCAAACATGATTTTTCAATTTCAGCAAGTTTTCAGATATACTAAAGAAGTTTATACATATTAAATATTCTTAAATAAATTGATGTTAACCTTAAATATAAATTATTTTGAAATGAAGACCGTAACCGTCAAGGACTATTTCTGTCGGTATTGGTTCCCTAATGTTATCCATTAGAATTTTTAGAGAATTTGAAGAGATTACTAAATTCAGAGTCTGCTGTCTAGAGGGTTCATGTCTGAATGTAAGTAGTTTAGTACATATTCTAATAATTTAAAATCAATTTTTCGCTATTCCAACTCTGAAAGATAGAAAAACCATGTCTAATATTCAATTTTATAATCTTAAGCTTGCATTTATCTAAACTAGATAATACATAAATTTGATAAATGAAAAATTAAAAACATCACTATGACGCGTCTTTTGTTACTTAATCTATCATTAGTTAAAATTTATTCAAAACTGGAAATATCGTGTATTAACAGAAAATAATAATTAACCATGATTTTTATTATAAGAAATAATGAATTTCAATAAAGTATTATAAAAATGTGTTTGTAGGATGAATAAATGTTCAAAACGTACACGTAAATAGTTCTTCGGCAGGCTCAGCGCTGATACACGGGGCTAAGGTTGTTTCCGCCACGATCACTCATCCAATGCACACCGAAATTGAGAAATGTCAGCTACCTGGATGGAGACGTTAGCAATAATAGCAATTTAAGTTTTGAAATCCATTGTCTGTGACCGCAGTTTGAGCCAAAAGACATCATCGACGGCGGAGATTTTTTTACCAGAAACTTTAGTAATTGAGCAACCTACTTGATTTCAAAATGATGTTTTATATTGCCATGAAACCCTTGATCCTTAATATTTGGTCCTTTAATATCAAACTCCTACAGTGGCACCAAGATCAAGGGTTTCATGGCAATGGTAAAAGTTAGGCCAATCTGTCCCCACCAGAGTTTTACCTCAAGGACAGAATACTGGAAAATCCAAATAAAGAATTAAGAAGCGATCTGCGGCGAAAACTAACCACCGCAACTATATGGGAGGTTCAATGCATACGTTACAATTCATTAGATTTACATTGGATCATGTTTTCTTCCTAGTACATTTGCGAAAAAATGGCCCTAGAAAATCACTGCACATATCCCTATATATCACATTCACCAATATTGGGGAGGGAAAAAAAGGTAAAACCTGTGTGGGGCTAATATTGGCGCCCTCTATCTGTAAGTTGATATAACTTTTATAATGACAAGGTGGTCAAACCCCCCAACCCAGAATCCTCTGCAGAATCGAAAAATGAGCTTTAAGAGGTTGAGAAGGAAAGGTAAACGAGAATTATTGCTGGTGAATGTTACACAAATGCAACAGTTACCACGCTCAAAGCCCGAAAAGCCTACTAAAACATAGGAGCAGATCGAAGTTGCTGAATAATATCTTGCACTGTACAGCATTTCCACAATTCATCCCTAGAATGAATAATCAGAACTTACCCTCTCGGTAGAATGCAATTCTCACATTAGCACAGCAACCACTTTACACCAGCAAATCCATTGGCCACAAACAATACGCCTGACTCTGGTATGAAAATCTTAAGATCCAGTAACAGCCATCTCTGGCGGGGATTTTGGTGAAACCATTGTGTGTTCCTCACCACCCAACTGTCCATTGTCAGATGTGTCGTACAACCTATCCGAAGAATTTCTAGACGCAGCAGTTTCTTTCTCTAAATGGTTTAGCTCATCAGCCGATACACTACTATTCTCACAGCAGCTTCCAGAAACATGTTGCTCCTTTTCTTGATAGTCCTCTATACAAGGAACAGTAATAAAGTTGACTAAAGGTTTCTTACGAGGTAGCACAGCCTGGCTCAAAGTTGAACATAAGGCAGCAAAAACACGATCTTTAGATTTTGAAGTTTTAGACAACTTCGGCATCTGTAAAATCTCAACCTTTGTCAATTTTCTTTTCAGCCTGAGAGAATCCATTGTTTCTTCATACTCTTCAGATGCTTCTGGATTATTCCTTGGTGGTGGCCGGTAGTCTTCATCATCCTCATCATAATCATAGTCAACCAACCCACCGGATCTTGGACTGAAAATCAAGAGATTTCAGAAGATGATGTTGTGCAAATTAAATAGACCAATAAATACAATGAAAAACAAGTATACCTACCTTAACTTTGAGTAGCTTTCAGCATCTCCATTGGATAAGGCATGTTGCCGTTGTTTCACTTTCTGATTATGTGAATTGGATGCAGACGCCGTATCCTCCTCATCACTGATTAACAACCAAATATCTGGAGACTCAATGCCAGGTATATAAAATCTCCTACTATAAATGTGAAAGAGGATATATACCTGTCCTCGTTAAAGTAGTCTTCCTCTTCTTTCTCCGGAGCACGCTCATCAAGTCGTCTTCGAATGTCATTCATAATAGAAGTCCCTTTTATCCCATCATTATCCAAATACTGAAGCAAGCACATAATCTTTAGTCAAAAACTGTACTTCGTAGAGTGTGGGTAAACGAAAATTGGAAATACCTGCTCATATTTTATTTTCAATGAATGAATGGAAACCAAGTACTCAAATTTCACTAACTGGTCCCAGAAAGAATCAACTATATACTTCAGCAATAATTTCATATTCTCCTGCATTATACAATATTATCAGTTCAAAAGTGCTCGAGGTAATGAACAATGAATACATATAAAAGATTGATACCTTGCGAATATACTCAAAAAGCTCAAGAACAGCTGAATTGAGCAGATTGTAGCGATTACCATTAGCAACAAAGGCATCTACAATTGGTTTCAGAAGATCACTTCTAACGAAATGATTTATAAGATGCTCATCCTGCAGGGCAACACTCCAAACTGTTACATGTACTGCAAGAGACAATTAACCATACTCACAAGAAACAACAATAAACAAGGGGATTAAAAAAATAGAATCAAGTAGTAATATCCTAAAACAAGATAATTAGTTTCACATTAAAAAATTCAACCAACTATCTTAAAGGTTGAGTTTCAAAATAATACCACGAGAACAAATCATACAAAAGAATTTAGTGATAACAATTTACATTAAAGCTACCAGCATAAACAACTTAATGCAGCTATAACAAAGTAAACTAAATTGCCCAAAAGTTACATTCTGGCTAACTGGTACCTTCCTCCCCTCTTGGAAATGAAAGGTCGGAGAACGGCCTGATTAAAAAGAAAAAAATTACAGATATTTTTACAGTTATCAAGAAGATGCTCCCAAACAGCCAAGATTTCATACTCCAAGGTTCTCAACCCTAGTTCCCTTCTCAATGAAATTTACTGCAATAAGCTCCAAATTGACAAAATGTACAACTCAACAATTCATCCATAGAAGCTTATGGAAGGAAAAAAACAGAATAAAATGTTATAGGTTCCACATACAATTGATTTCGAATAATCCACTCTATATTTCATAAATTCAGACCATTCTCAAGATTAAGTCACTAACATTACTAGTCAATATGCCTTACACTAAAAAATAAATAAATCAGTAAATATGCCTCCTTAAAAATAAATAATAAGGTATCAGGGCTCATTCTGTAATGATTGGGAGAATGGTTTTTATTTGCTGTTGATATAAGGCTGTATGTGTAAGTACTATATGAACCATAAAATTACAAGCCAGTAGCAGAATATCAAGATTGAGTTAATACATATAGAATAGGGGAAGGGGGATCTTCACTCTGGCATTTGCACTGGCCAAAGTCAAAACACACAATATCTGCACAAACATTTAAACATACATGACGTGAGAGAACAGCGCGAACAAACCGCACAGCGCCAACAACAAGGTATTTCTCTCTTCTCCGTGACAGTAATAGAATTTTATCCGTAACTTTATTAAGAAGAAAGTTACACCTGCAAAAAAAGAGACCCATGTCTTAATCACATTAAGTGATTCAACAACATAAAGTCATTCAGGTTACTGCTTGGCAAGAAGGAAATACTTTATCCTGTATGGGTGGTGTTGGACGCAAAAGCACAGCAATTCACATATGTTTGATAGAATCTCTGGCTTTGTCCCACTCTGACACTTTATTTGGCTATTCACATGACCATTTTCTGTAGGACATGACGTTGTTATCACATCAATCAGTTGACTCAGATGCTTCTCATAGAAAATATCGATAATAGTATCCCTCTGTCAAGTAAAACTGAAAAGTTAATAAAAAAAAACTCCAATATAACCATCTAATAACACAAGAATGAGACATTAACGCATAGCATACCAGCTTCTCAAACAAAAATCAACACATTAAATTAACACAACTCAATTTTCAAAATTTGCAACCTGCGCAAACAAACTCAAATGAGAAATAAGAGAACGAAACCAATCCCACAATTGATTTCAACAATCTATGTTGTCCA